GCTTTTGCTTGGAAATGGGCAGCTCATTGTTGGCGAGATCCGGTTGTTGTTGTAATGTTGACTATCTCGTCTAGTTCTGACTGAAAAGAGACGGCATTAATATCCTGAGAATCACCTTCATCGAATCACATTTTAGAATAATCAGTCCAAAAAAAAATTACAGAAAAAGATTGGACTTTTTTTTTTAGAAACAGAGATTTTGATGGGAGAAAAAAAAGTTGAGAGACATTGCTTTATAACCACACGTTTTATTTTCATGAGTTTATGCTGCTTTATATAGAAAGTTACAGGGAAGAAGAAGCAAATCATCTAGAAATATCAGTTACATAATAGTTAAATGGGGTCTAAATGAGCTAACGAATAAGACGTTACAAGTCCTGAAGGTTTTTTAAAAGAATAAGACGTTACATATTAATAATAATTAATTAAAAAAAAAAGGAATAATAAATATGTTTGGTGGCTCTATGTCATGGCCACGTACCTTTTTTTGTTTTTTAAACTTTTTACTGTACTAAATATCATGTATTTATTCATTTTTTCCAAAATAGCTTTACAATGATAATTTCTTTCTTATGTAATAGAAATGAAAATTTTTAATCATAATAATAATCTACCAGTTTTTTTTTATTTCATTACCTCAAGTTTTGTATGTAATACTAGAAAAGACCCGCGCGATACGCGGGATATTTTTTTTGATAGTTAATATAAAATGTTTATGTTTTGTTATGAAAAATATTGATATGAATATAGAAAAAATTATATTATTAAATCAATATATATATATATGAAAAAAGAAAAAGTAAAAAAGTTTAAATATCATTACATTATTATATTATAAATTTATTTTTATATTGAATAATTTTGTCAATGTAATTCTATACGTTGAATATATATTTTTTACGATAATATGCATGTGTAGTCAATGTAATTACACATTTTATGTTATATCTCTTTGCATCTTTTTCATTAACATATCTAGAAATAATAATTTATGGATTTGTTTAGTATAAAATTTTGATCATTTAGGTAATATAGATATTTTTTGCATCAATCGAAT